ACCTGACCAACTATGAAACTATGAGCTGGTTTGGACGGGACTGATCCTGCCTCAGGCTGGATGTGACCCCACAGCTCCCTGCCCACCCCACTTTTTGGGGATTTTTCCTTCCTCTTCCCTCCCCTCCATCCCTCTCTCCCTTCTGTGGTTTTCCCAACCCTTCCTTCCTCTCAACCTCGAGCCAGCCCTGGCCTCTCCCACACCTCACCTCACACACCAGGTCCACAGTATAGAAAGCGGCGGTGCCCAATGCCTGCAGTGTGAGGATGCAGGGGACGCTGTCCCCAGGCTGCACGCTCCCTCTCTCTGGTGAGATCTTCAGCAGCTGCAAGCAGAGAGGAATCAGACCCTGCCTGGTATCCAGGGCACTTCTGCTGGTTCGGGGTACTCCCGTGAGCTGTCAAGCATGTGCCCTCCTGTGAGGACTAACAGGGTTCCCCATGTGCAGGGTGACAGGGGCCAGGCTTGCCCACTGCCACACCGCTCCAGCTCCAGGCTGATGTGACTCTAGGGAATTCAAACCTTTAGGCTTCCCCCATCTGGCTTCCTCCAAGAGCTGGTGTCTGCCCCATGCCCCCATCCTTCCCCTCAGGTTTCTAATTGCTTCTCTTGTCTGCTTCTGCCAACACAGCCCTGCTCAGACCGCTGGCTCTCCCTGCGTCCAGGCACAGCCAGGCTTGGACAGGGCTGATCCTGCCTCAGGCAGGGGTCAGACTAGACGTGACCTCCGGACGTCCCTTCCAGGTCAGCTCCTCTATGATTTCAGCTGACAGGGGCAGTCAAAGTCCAGGGCCATGCCTGGCTGGAAGAGAACAACAGAGTTGGGTCAAGCAGCCGCAGGAGAGGGAGGAGGACTCACCGCACTGTCGTGACCTGTGCCAATGTGCCAGGTGAAGCTGAGGGCCTGGTCCTCGGAGGGGTTGTTGAGGAAGAAGAGCCGGCTGGTCTTGCTGTAGACCGGGATGTTCCCAAGGCAAATCCTGGACTGGGACAAGAAGGCTGCCTGGGGGGAAGACACCAGGTGTGAGCTGCTGCCTTGCTCTGGCCACACACATTCCCACTGGTGATGGGCAGCACAGCTGGCAACATCTGCTTGACCCATTCAGTTGAGGCCATTTGAGGCTGGATGCCCATCCTGGCCTCCACGGGGGTGGGCACCAGCTATGGCAGCTGCTTCCCCCCTGCTTTACCCAGGCTGGAAGTGATGCCCCTTTCCAGGCTGGGCTGTGGCCTCAAGCAGCAACTGAGGGGGCCAAGATCCTCAACAGCCCATCCTGACCCACTCCTGCGACAGCTGGAAAGGCCCAGACTCAAACGGGCCGAGCCTTGGGGAGTCTTTGCTGGCGCTAGGAGCCCCCTGGCTTGAGGGAGAACTCAGAGCCAGGGCACCAAATTCAGCTGGCGGTTAACTCTCAGCAGGAAGGAGCTACACAAGCCCTGTCAAGGACACTAGAGGCCTTGGAGGGAATAAGCACACTTTGATGAGCAGATGGTTTCCCCTGCCTGCAGCCTGGTTCATCCTGCTCCAGGCACCAGTGCCCATTTGCTGTGCTGGGATGGCTTAGTCATTTCTGAGTGCACTGAACCCTCTGGCAGTGGCAGTGAACTGCCAGCCCTTGCCCCCCGGGCAGGGCTGGGGGCTCTCTGTGTCTCTGAGCAACGGGCCTCGTTGCTGTGCATGGGGCTGGGGGTAGTGTGAGGAATGGGTCACACAAGGCTGCATCGGGGTGGGGGGTGTTAGATGTGGCCAGGCTGGTGGTGACTCCAGAGGGCCTGGCCAGCCTGGTCAAGACCAAGTTCAGCAGGCAACTCTTGGAAGAACCAAGCAGCTGGCAGGGGATTCCTGCTCCTGCCTGCATTGAATCATAGGTAAGTTGGGCTGGAAGGGACCTCGAGGTCACCTAGTCCTCTGGATGCCTGTGTGCAGATGGCACGGGGCCTGCTGTGCTGCCCCAGGTATGGCTACCCCGACTGTGACTGAGAGGGAAGTGCAGCTTCCCTCTAATCAAGCAATGGCTGGGGAAAGAGGTGGCTAAGGGAGATGCTGGCATGAAGCTCAGCTACAAGGGGTCCAGGCAGGAATCTAGCCAACTTCAGGGAGGCAAAGGGCCCTGTCCCCAAGTGAGCCCGCTACAAAGGGGCTGAGTACCAATCCCCTCCATAGGGCCAAGCCCACCGTCTCCCACCCATGCTGGGGCCCTGGAGCTGGTCCTGCTACCCCTGGCACTCACCTGCCCAGGCAGGGTGATTTTGGAGGAGCCTGGGGTCACCGAGGAAGACGACACAGTGTCAAACCGGGCAGTGTCACCCATGATATGCGGGTCATAGCCGATGCCCTGGAAGGTGACCAGTGCTGACTCCCCACCGGCCACATGGATGGAGACATCAACCTGCACAGGAGAGACAAGGAGGGTAGATCCAGGGCATGACCCAAGGGGCTTGGTGACAAGGGCTGAGGGCTGGAGCTACCTCTGCTGGAATGAGCCATCTGGTCTGCTGGGCCCTGAGAGTCTCAAGGTGTCAAGTGCCCACAGACCCCAGCTGAGACACATGTACCGCGGGTGTCATGCTGCTCAGGCCCAAGGGCCCTGGCACTGACTCTCCCTCCCTCTCTCCTCCTGTCCTGGTCATGGGCATGTGCATGGGTATGACAGGAGGGAAGGCCGGGGTTTGGATTCAAGGTGCCATTTTGATGGTCACAGAAGGATGTGACCCGGCTTGGCACTGACTTAGAGACCTGCCCCAAAGGGTGAGGGATAACCCATGGCCCTGGGTTCTCCCAGGCCCTGGCTCTGGCCCCTTTGCCAACCATGCCAGGAAGCAGATCTGTTGAATCCATTGCTGCGGGAGCTAAGTGATGCAGGCACACCTCTGTGGGCAGCCAGGAGAGTCCTGTCTGCCAACACCAGGGATGTCTGTATTCTCTGCTGGATGTAGCTGCTCTAGGACATGTTACCCAACTGCTAATATCCCAAAAACCAGGGTCTAGTCTGGAGGAACTTGCTTGGGATTCTCTTGTACAATAAAAGCCTCCAGACTCATCCTGGCTGTAACACCAAGGTATCCTGGGGATGTGGGCTGGTGGGGACTGAGGGCTGCAGCACAGCATGCTGGGAAGGAGCAGCAGCAATTCTAGTGGGTGACCCCAGAGGAGACGCAACGAAGAAGTTTCATAGTTGGTCGGGTCAGAAGGGACCTGAGCAGATCATCTAGTCCAACCCCCTGCCATGGCAGGAAAGAGCACGGGGGTCAAACGACACCAGCAAGGTGATTGTCAAGCCTCCTCTTAAAGCCCCCCAGGGTAG